TGTCGAGTCGTCATCTTCGGAAGCTGCGCTCGGCAGAAGGCTTCCTATGCACGTCGCCATGTTCGTCAGGCAACTTTACTGCAGTGTAGATGCCAGCCCCACACAATGTCCCTAGGATGGGAGCTGTGAGGTAAACCCATATGGCTTTAAAGTTATTTGTAACTATGGCTGGCCCCAGTGTTCTCACTGGATTCATTGAAGCTCCAGTTGTTTCCCTATAATAGCATGATCAAAATGAGAATCTTTTAGTCTGTTTCTTGTTTAGTGAAGGTTAAGTTGCTCATAAGAGGCTCTAGATTACCAACCGTTTCGTTTTAGACACAGGAGCCACTTAGTTTATATCTGTTTTAACTATGGTTCTTACTTCATTATAGAGAAGTTCCACATTTTTTCTTAAGTTGGCCAATCTATTTCAAGTTAGAGAAGTTATTACGGGTTGAGTCATATGACGTGAAAAGGTTATTTAGAATTCCCAAAGTTAATCGACTGTATTTTAATGGCATATCATCATGTTTATAAATTCCCAAAGTTAATCAATTTCTTAAACTTTAGATGAGGTGGTCTAATGGCCAATTACCTTTCTTGATATTGAAGGTTCACTCTCCCACCTTCACAATTATTGTACTAAAAAATGGTTGAGTAAATGTTTTCAAAAACAAAAAAAAAAAGAGAAAAATGGTTCAGTAGGTTTAGACTAGGTTATTAGATATTTTTTAAAATTCAGGGGATACAAAAAAATGAAAAATGTCGGGTTAACTTTAAAAGTTCAGAGTTCTACTAAATATTTTTTTAGGTTTATGGACACATTAGACAGCATCAACATCAACGTTAAAAGTTTAGAGACTTATTAAGATCTATTAGACATAATTTAAAAAGTTTGAGGAACTAAATTTGTAATTTAATAATAATAATAATAATAATAAATTAAAGGGCCGTGATTAATTTATTGGGATTGTTTTGGACATACCCGGCGATGAGGACATTGAGCATGACTGTTGCTCCTACCGCGATTCCCGCCAAATCTCCCACCTGCCATTTTCAACTCCATATCACTTTGTGATTTTTTCTAGGTAACTAGTTGAGCTATACTTAGGTTGGCAGAAATTAAACCTATAGTATATATATATATATATATATATATATATTTTTTATATCAAAGTTTCTTCTTTTCAGAACAGGAATTCAAAGTCGGAATTCAAAGTCAAAAGAAGCAAGGACAAGGAGTAACTCACAGCTCGAGTATCAGTGGCGACTGCGGTGATGACAAACATGAGGTTGAAGCTAATGATGAACTCTAGAGCAAAAGCCTGCTCATATCCAACTGAAGGAACAGTGACTCCTCCCCCCATTATTGGATCAAAGATCCATTTCAATGCAAAAGAAGCACACAGAGAAGCCACCATTTGAGCTCCAATATACACCGGAACCTGCAAAAACAAAAACAAAAACAAGCAACTCAGAGAGATTTCTAAGCATCAGAAGATTCAGTGCATGGAGATCATGGCGCCTACATGCTTCCATGGAAAGTGCTTTAGTGCTGCAAAAGCAATGGTGATGGCCGGGTTCAGATGGGCTCCAGAGATGTGGCCAGTCGACGAGATGACAATCATCACCGCCAGCCCGGTCGAGGCTGCTAGGCCGATGAGTGTTTCGGTTCCTTGTGTCTTCTGGTTTACAATGGCCGTGGCGGTTCCAGCAAAGATGAGCATCAGAGTACTGATGAACTCTGCTCCCACCTTTAGGTATAACGAGATGTGGGGTTAAGAGACCATTTGATAATGTTTTTGTTTCTTGTTTTGAGTGATATTGCTGTCTAATTTCTTTTTCCTATTTATTGTTTTTTAGAAACGTTTTCTTTTAATTATCTGCTTGAATTTTCCAATCATGTTAATAAAAATATACTTTTACTATTCTATATTTATTAAATGCATCACAAATATTAACAAATATATATAATATAATAATTTTGAATATTTTATTTGAGAAAAGATAGATTTCATGTAACTTTTTATTTTCATTTAAAATTTTAGAGAACTTGAAATAAGGAACGATCACTGACACTGAGGTACATCTTTTAGTGAAAAAGTTAAATAAGATGTTACTGCTAAATGTAGTTTTTTTTCCTTCTACGAAGAATGATAAACAGAAAATAAGAAATAAGAAACTGTGATATTACTAAATAGATCTTAAATTTTGCTCTTTCATCTCTCGAGAATTACCTTTCTTGCAAGCGAGATAGGAGGAGGCGACAATGAACAAGAGACCTTGGAGGATAAGCCTCTTTCTTCATTGGTCCAATCATCGGCATTGAAAGAGATGCAGTTCTTGAGAAGAGATCTTTTACCATTTCCATTTCCATGGTGTTCCGCCCTGATCCCTTCAAAAAGAGGAGCTCCAGGTGTCCCCGGCGTGGATGGAGCTTCCTGATCTGTGTCCATCACTCAGAAAGAAAGAGAGAAAGGGAGAGGGAGGGGACAAAGAGAGTAAGTTTTCAGTTTCCTCGTGTTTTTGTTTTGGGTTTTGTCCCTTTGTCTTAGGAGAGTGAACCAAGCTGAATGCTGAATTAATATTTATAGAAGAAAATTGGTTGACTTGAGAGAATCCCAAGAGAAAAAAGAGAGAAACAGAAGTGAATTGCTGCAAATAATTTTGGACCATCTCTCCTCAAAGTTTTGATCTTTAATAAATCATTGTTCCTCTCTCTCTCTCAAATGCCACTGTTTACATGCATTCAATAATATACATTCTTCTATATATGCTCACTTCCATACAATTTTCCAATCTGGTGATCTTCTGAATCAAAATGATGATATGATGGAAATAATATGGTTCTAAACACTTAGATAGTTTCGATTATTTGAGAATATTTTATCTTGAGCAATGTGTGCTTTGATAACATTAAAACTATTTTCGATCTTAGCTATTGAATTTTTGTATTGTGTTTAATATTAATATTTTAAAGTCATCTGTTTTATTTTCAAATCTGACATGAAACACCAATGCATGTGCGTCGTATCCGATATATTATTATTATTATTTTAAGAAAATGATCAATGTTGTGTCATATCTGATTTTTTGTTTCGAAAGTAGAGGTGGTAACTACAAGAAGTTGTCGAGACATACTTGGTTGGGTCATAAGAAAATCCAAATTTGATGCTACAATTTCATTATTCAATTTCAATGGTACTATACTAAGTAAGAGTCTTATTGAAAATTTTTTAAACAGTAAAGACGAAATTGAAAAAAACAATGTACATTATTTTAGAAATTAAATAACATATTTAATCTTTTAACTCAATAACCATAAGATATCATTATTTAAACTATAAGTGAAACCATAGCATAYGGACTTGTGACATCTCAGTTACACATGAGCTGGCTTCAAATCATTATAACCAATTATAAACCTTAAAATATTGTCCCAAACACATGATTATTGGTGATATAATTAAGAAAGTATCCTTGAAAGTCTTTAGCTAATTAGTTTTATAGTCCACTAATTAATTTAATAGTATAAGATAAATAAACCATCAAAGGTGGTGGTGCAGAGAATCTCTCTAATTGATATATAAACTATTTATATTTATTCCAAATTTGTTTCATAAGTATTGTTCAAAATAAGTGGCTAGGTTTTGATCCATTCCTTTCTAATTTCTATTTATGCTTTTGCTTTTCTTGCTTTAATCCTTATGAGGAAAAAAAAACCCCAAAAGAGGTTAAGATTAAGATTTATTTATTAGTTTACCGATAGGTAGATAGTGGAGATTCAAACCTTCGATATTTTGGTCGAGGATAAATACCTTAACCAGATGGGCTATATTCATATTGATATTTATGAAGTAGGAATAGTTTAAGATTGATTGATTAAAATTGTGTTCGTTGGGATTGTGAGGCTAAAATGGCTCCTAAAATGGCTCACTTTTTTTGCTCAAAGTATATGCTTTCTTTACAACATTGATGAGTGTGTCCAACACAAAGCACAAAAGTTATACATAATTAGGACTTCAAATTCTCCAAGTGATTGAATTCTAACATTCAATTGAGATTATTCTAAAACTATAGAGGATGTTATGTCTTTTTCCCTAAGAGCGAATATAATTTTTTAAAATAGAGAGTAATATAATAAAAAGTACCCAATTGATAAAGTAGGGAGGAATCCTAAAAATGTAGGAGTAAGGCCGAATATGAATAGGCAAAACAAATTTGTGGTTCTACTTAATAACGAATGATTCTTTTTAATGTACATTACGTTGTTACCAGTAAACTAAACTACAATTAAAATTACATTTTTTATTCACCTCTTACTCTCATTGACTCATCAAAAAGCGAAACAAAATCAAACCCGCTACACAATATCAACATTTGTGACAAAAGAAAAAGGCAAGAATAATATGGTTGGAATCAAATTGAAAAAGGGGAGGAACCTAAAAAAGTTAGAATAAGGTAGAATATGAGTAGGTGGTACAAGTTTAGATCATTCATGTGTGACCCTAAATGCCTAATTTCTCATCATCTTTTGTTCAACTTCTCTCGTAATTGGGTGACAAAGAATTTAATATTTTCAATCTTCTTGTCAAACAAGCTTTCAGATTTGTCATTTAATCGCCTCTTGAACTTATGCTAAAACTTGAATGGCCATTCGTAGTTTTTTTTAGTACAACATGTGGAGGTGGAGGATTGAACTCACAACCTTTTGGTTGGAGGCATATATTAATTACCATTGCTCCCTTTGGCAATGACCCTTCGTGTTTGAAGTTGGAAGCTTTCTTAGAGATATTTTGGAAAAATAATATATATTGACAAAAGAGAGAAAGACGTGTAATATTTTCAAAGACCTGCAAAAATTGAATAACAGTATTCTTTTTAAAATATATAATACAGAACATATTTTTAAATTTAAGAATGCATGTCACTTTTTAACACAGTACAATATGTTATATACCTCAATATAGCTATTAGAATACATTACACATTTTAAAATATAGAATAGCCGACACTTTTAAAATAAAAGAAAATGTAACACTTTTAAAATGGTAATAACTAGCAAAACTTTTAAAATTTAAGGACTCGTATTCTTTTTTCAACCTAAGAATATGTAATATGTTTAGAAAATATAGGATGTGCAACATAACATAAAATCACATTACACCTATAATAAGCATAAGAATACACATCAAGTTTTAAAATTTAGAATAAGCAAAATTTTCAAAATATAAATTATGAAACAGTTTTAAAAAGGTAGGCTATGCTAACACTTCTCAAAAATATATAAAGTAGGCAATGCTTTTGAAATTAGAGAGAAGTATAAAATAATCCAAAATTACTTCTTCTCAAATGTTGTAAGTTCAAATTTTAAGAATCTAATATTACTTTTTAAAAAAATTATATAACAAATGCTCGACTCTATTTAATAAAATTCAACATCTTTTAAAAATAATAATAAATAAATCAAACCTATTTATCATACTATACGTGACTTTGGCTTTTAATTATTTAGTGAATGAACAAAAAATGTACTAATATAAATTTAAAAAAACAATTAATAATCAAATTAATTTTTGTATACAACATTCAAGAATACTGAGATATAATAAACATAAAAATTTAGAGAAATAGGATTTAAACTAATGTAACGTAGTCTAAAAGCAAGAAAAAGAAAAGCTAAATTGCAACAAAAAATGGAAAAACGAAGTTGTAAACGTTTGTTCTAAATATATGTCTCATTTCTTTTTTAAGTGATTAATTCAACTTATGCACATCTCTAACTACAAAATTATTGAAGCTCCGATATCCAATATCGTAAAATTTGTATAACATACAAAAAATAAAAAAAATAACGACAACAGTAAAACAAATGCAAATTCAAGTAAAATCTAAGAGAGAACCGAGAAAATTTCAACCATCAAGATCATACAGAATGACCCAAATTAGAAGAACAAATCCATGTTTCATTCAATAAGTTATGAACAAATCCAGTCTCCATCAAATCCCCACTCTATCAGAAAACTTGCCTTTTATTTTCCAGAACAAGCAGGTGACGTGAGTTTTCAAGTCACAAAAACCATAGCTCGAGTTCAGTGATAAACAAATTGGCAAGAGCCCAGATGATCATTTAAATACAACAAAGCAGAGCAAATTCAAAATGACTCTGCCACAATTTGGTAAAAAAGCTAACAATTTGTACCTCAGTAAACGAAAATATGCCCTCAGTAAATGGTTGAAGAAAATCTACTCAGATCTAGACTGCTTCCCGATTTGTCACAATAAAATTATAACTGGGGGCAGGGGAGACCAAAGACGGAAAAAATGGCTACAAAAAGAAAGGATCTATATTAGAGATGTCAGCGGATCACACCGCTTAAGTACTTTCTGTTGTATTGATCTGCAACTTTGGACAAAGATTGTATCGTAACTGGGAATCCAGGACCCATCTGCACATAAGAAGAACAATGAATTGCTTCACCATCTATGAGACATTTTAGTAGTTGCAACTTAAAGATATAAGATCCTATAGAGATACGTATCACAAAACTCGGCAACAATCACTCCCACAACATTCATCTCTAGTTTGGTATCCCCAGAAAATAGGACCAATGGCTGCTCCAGATATGCTCGAATATTACTAGGGACGACGTAGTATTGTCTACTCTTTCAAATCAGCAACAGGTTACCCTAAAAGATTATGGTTTTGAGGAACTAAATTAGTTGCACAGGTTAAGGAGTTGTTTATGGTCTATAAGATTTAACATTTGTCGAAATAGTTAATCTTCTGTGAGGCCCCCATTGTTAATACTTACTCTAGGAAGGGTAGAAAGAGAAGTAGCCATAACGGTAAGGAGAGAGAATGAGTGCTTGGTGCTTGGTGCTTGGTAGCTGGTTAGGGTATACATTTGTTTCTGTGCCTTTGGAAAAGGAAAAGATAGGTTAGGAGAGTCTCTCTCGAATTGGTGGGTTAGCTCTGTAATGGCTGAGGGCTATATCCTTTGATATTGAATAGAGAAATAGTGAGGAGATACATCAGATCTTCCCGTAACTCTTTTATACATGCTACAAATGAATTACTCAGTACCCTTTTTGGCAAAATAGTATTTGAGATTTTTCTTATGATTTCAAGATACTCAGTACCCCTTATCGGGCAGG